CAAGTTCTCCAATAACTAGATATTCATTTGCAGTTCGCTCACAGTCAGAGTTGGTGCTAGGATTTCAGGACTTGATTCTGCAACTATCTAGGATAACATTGAGACCAAGGTGGTTACCGCACTTGGAAACCTTCGTTTCTCCCGGTAGGAGAGGGAGGAGTGAACACAGTAAGAAACAGCTCCCTTCGTCGTCCTAAGGTGCCACCTCTGTTCAGGGACTGGACAGATGGGCATCTGTTTATAAAGCTAAGTGACACAGCATTCAGATGCTCCTCGGCATTCTCTACAACAGGCTTGATGCTCATATAACAAGCTAGACCTTTGGCTCCAGAAGGCAACTATGATGCCCAGATCACCGAAAACTGCTTCCCTCCTGGAGTGGTCTACGAATCTACTAGATTCTTGGGCTTAATTGTTATGAGTGAAAACAGATGCCTCTTCTGTTCCTGATACCTGGCCTCTCCCCTTCCCCCCCCTTGCCTTCTGAGGTACAGCTGTTGAGGGGCATGAGCTGTTCTACTGACACTCAATGGTTGCTTTCACAGCACAGCACAGCACAGGGATCCATCACCCATTCAGCAATGCTGTGTGTTCTCAGAGGGTGTGGCTTCATAGGACACGAGAGTGATTCTGTGACTATGGGAGGTGACGTTTTTTCAAAAGTAAAATTGACTGAAGCATGTGGAACCCTAAAGTTAATACTTTAAAAGTTTGTTTGTTTTTTTAATTTATTTATTTATTAAAGATTTCTGTCTCTTCCCCGCCACCGCCTCCCATTTCCCTCCCTCTCCCCCCATTAAGTCCCCCCCCCCGCCCAGCCCGAAAAGCAATCAGGGTTCCCTGTCCTGTGGGAAGTCCAAGGAACCCCCACCTCCATCCAGGTCTAGTAAGTTGAGCATCCAAACTGCCTAGGCTCCCACAAAGCCAGTGTGTGCAGTAGGATCAGAAACCCATTGCCATTGTTCTTGAGTTCTCAGTAGTCCTCATTGTCCGCTATGTTCAGCGAGTCCGGATTTATCCCATGCTTTTCCAGACCCAGGCCAGCTGGTCTTGGTGAGTTCCCAGTAGAACATCCCCATTGTCTATGTGTGTGGTGCACCCCTCGCGGTCCTGAGTTCCTTGCTTGTGCTCTCTCTCCTTCTGCTCCTGATTTGGAAGAATGGATGAAGAAAGTATGGAATATATACATATTAGAGTACTACTCAGCAATAAAAAACAAGGACTTCTTGAATTTTGCATGCAAATGGATGGAAATAGAAAACACTATCCTGAGTGAGGTAAGCCAGACCCAAAAAGAGGAACATGGGATGTACTCACTCATATTTGGTTTCTAGCCATAAACCAAGGACATTGAGCCTATAATTAGTGATCCTAGAGAAGCTAAATAAGGAGAACCCTAAGAAAAACATATAGGCATCCTCCTGAATATTAACCTTCAGCAAGCGATGAAAGGAGACAGAGACAGAGACCCACATTGGAGCACAGGACTGTTTGTTTGTTTTTGAAACAGGGTTTCTCCGTGTAGCTTTGGAGCCTCTTCTGGAACTTGCTCTGTAGCCCAAGCTGGCCTCGTCCTCTTGTCTCTGCCTCCCAAGTGCTAGGATTGAAGGCATATGCTACCACTGCCTGGCCTCAACCTCAAATTTTATGTTTTATTTTTGTTCGTATTTTTTCATTTTAATTTTTTTTTTTTTTGGTTTTTCGAGACAGGGTTTCTCTGTGGTTTTGGAGCCTGTCCTGGAACTAGCTCTTGTAGACCAGGCTGGTCTCAAACTCACAGAGATCCGCCTGACTCTGCCTCCCAAGTGCTGGGATTAAAGGCGTGCGCCACCACCGCCCGGCAATGTTTCATATTTTCCCCACTTCCATTTCCTCCCCTCAAACCTTCCCACTTTGCTCTCTTTCAAATTCATAGCCTCTTTTTCCAATAATTGTTATTATATGTGGGGTAGGATATGGGATGCCCTTCTGTGAATGTTTTATTATCACTGGTTAATAAAAAGCTGACTTGGCCAATAGCCAGGCAGAACAGAGCCAGGCAGGAAATCCAAGTAGAGACACAGGGAAAAAGAAGGCAGAGTCAGGGGGATGTAAGATATGAGGTAACAAGCCATGAGCCTTGTGGCAAAATAACAGAAATGGGTTAATTTAATTAATAATAAGCCTGAGCTAATAGGCCAAACAGTCTGTAATTAATATTAAGCCTCAGAGTGATTATTCAGGATCTGACAGGTGGGAGAGAAACCTCCAATTGTGTTTGTGACTCCTAAATACATAAATACCACCTGCTAGGATTAGACCTTTGGCTTCTAACCTCAAGTTTTAAAAAGCAATGCTGTTAAGTACAGTTTCCAAAGCCATTTTCTTTCCTTTCATGACATACAGTTCACAGCTTGTATTGTACGTGTGTACGAAGGAAGCAGTGGGACCCCTCTTCAGGACACGGACACCTGTGTCGGTTCCTTTTCTGTTGCTGGGTTAAAACACCGTAGCCAAAAGCAGCTTCCAGAAGGGTTTATTTTGGCTTATGGTTCTAGAGAGTCCGTAATGACTGATTACCCTTTACCTGCACAGGAAGCAGAGGAGCAGCAGGAAGTGGGCAAGGTAATCAATTCCCAAGGCCTGCCTCCAGTGATGGACTTCCATCATCAGAGTTCCATTAAAATTTTAGAATTTCTCCAAATAGCATCACAACTGGAGACATCCATTACATGAGCCTCTGTGGAAACATTTCTCTGTCAGGCCATGACACATGTCAACTTCTTTTTCCTTTCAGAATGACTGCCAACAACCCCTGTACCATTACTTCAATTGGTGCAGTTTTGAGGAGGGTATCTGCCAATATTTTGTGTTGGTGAACCTCCTCCCCTTGGGCTGTTTGACACCCATATCCTAGAATAAATTCTCCTGTTCGGTGGAACTGCCTGTGGACACAGCACATTGGCAGCACAGTGTGGGTGACTCACATGACCTGGCTGCCAACGAACAAAGCATGTTTGTGTCTCCCCATCTGCATTTTGCCAGTGGCTTCTCTTTAGTTTTCTTATTTTTCAACCACACTTGCTGTTAGGAGTTACAGATTTAATAATAAAGGGAACCCTGCTGGCTGCCTCTTTCCTCTGTCTCACCACTCAGTTAAGTGGTCAATAGTGGCTCCTTCTCTTACCTCTTCTCTTAAACAAAACAGCAAGTCCAGATGGAAGTATTTTGATTTTAAACTGGAGTTAAAAGTAAAAACCCAATTTTATCATAATTAACCTTAAACACCCTCTGGGCTCTACCTTGGCAGTGTTGAGGTGATAGGGAGTGAGCATTGCTGTTGGATGCATAGAGCTAAGAGACTAAATGTCTGTCTTCAGGACCCTGCAAAACCTTTGCAGAGCCGAGGACTAACCATGTTGGAAAGTACATAACCCCAGATGAGCATGAACTGCAAGCATGGTACAAACTCAGTCAAGAAATTATTTCCAGCTGAGCCCCTCATGGCCTCAAGGATGATGTAAAATGTAATTCGAGCCTTCAGAATGAGGTAAAGTTTTGACATAGAGAGAGAGGGCAAGAAGCCATTTCTGTGTGTGACGAATGAGTATATCCAAAAGCAAAGGCTGTTAGAGCAACTACAGATGGAGTAGTTTGGCTTGAAGGAAGAGGTGCTGTTGGGATCAAGCATGGACTATGTTAAACACTGGGAAAATGGCTGTGGGCTGAGCAGAAATGGACAGGAGCGGGGCGTTGGGGAGCTTAGCTTGTCTGTTGACTCAGATAGGATGGAATGACCAAGACAAAGGCGTAACGCAGCAGAGCTGAGGAATACATCTTTTGCGCTCACTCTCTTCCTTCCCATTTCTTGCTGATTTTCTCCCATCCTTTGGTAAGATAGCAAGGAACCCGCCAGTGTGATCCCTACTGGTCAGCCTGTGGGGGCAGAGAGGAACTAAGGGCCCAGACAGAAGCAGCAGTCATAAGGAGCGTCCTCACAAGAATGGCAGTAGCCTACAGGGACACTGGGAGGCCATGAAGTTTCTCATGCGCTCTTAGAGGGCAAAGCCAGAGGATCTGGAGAAGTAAATCTCAGTCTCGTTTCAGAGCCCAGAAAACAGAGCCCAGCAGGGGGAGCAAATTAGGCAGAGCTGGTTGTTGCAGCTGATGGAAGGTTCTCATCCATCTCTGCCACTCTTCTTGTGGCCAGAGGGCATCCATAAATTTCTCTGTCTTGGCCGAGACCCACCACACCGTCTTCCCCACTGTGCAGCATGTTCATGGCCTCAGTTGTCACTCTGGGGATGAGCCAAACATGGTGCAGCCATTGCAGGTGGATAGGGTGTGTCGCTGCAGTTAGCAGTCATCAAGGGCTTTGCAGAATCAGCGCTGTTTCAAGAGGATAATAAATTCACCCATGATGGATCCCGGAGATCCTTCCAGCACTGTTGACATGCAGTAGTTTCTGTAGGCTACCATGTGCATATATGTGTATGTGTGTGTGATGCCCTTAGTACTAGCTATACATAGGCTATTGTGTTGTCATTTCCTTCAATGCTGAACAATTTCCTGTCTAGCAAATTTTCTAAGAATTTGAGTTTTAATAGCCATAATATTTTTTAAGTGGGTGTAGTATTTATTTTTTCAAAAAGTTATGTTATTAGCCATTTTGGTTGTTTATGTTTTGTCTATGATAAATGATACTATAACATATAGCTATATATTAAATGTAAATAAAATGATATACATATCTAAGTAGTTGTGCTTGTCTGTTTCTCTAGAAACAGGCACTGACAGTGAAGATGTTAGGTAGTTGGGTAGGTAGGCATGCTGGCTCAAACCTGTAATTCCAGTACTGGACTTACTGGGAAGCCTGAGGCAGGAGAATCTGGAGTCAGCTAGCCTGGGCTACATCACACACACACACACACACACACACACACACATACACACGTGTTTCTTGGTACTGTGTAGTCCTACAACCCTTTCTTACGTCTTTCCCCGTGTCCTTCCTTCCCCAGAGCTCACCTTCAAGCTCTACCAGCGGGCCAAGCACGTGTACAGCGAGGCCGCGCGTGTGCTGCAGTTTAAGCAGGTGTGTGAAGAAGCGCCTGCCAATGCTGTCCAGCTGCTGGGCGAGCTGATGAACCAGAGCCACAGAAGCTGCCGGGACATGTATGAGTGCAGCTGCCCCGAGCTGGACCAGCTGGTGGATATCTGCCGGTGAGCGGAGAGGGCTATGTGAGGGCCAAGCCATGGCTTCAGGGAATGCAGTTTCAACTAACAAAAAGCCATATTCTCATAAGTTAGGTGAATCCTTCCTATATGACGGACTCCATTCACCATGATGTAGAGCCCCCATCTTCTTCTGAACATCTGCCGGGTGGTTTGAGACCTGCTTTATGGGGCTCAGCAGTCAGTCTGGAGCCAGTTCCATTACTAGGTGACTAGACCTCACAGGAAGGCAGCTTTTCTCTGACATGGGCATTTTATGTATTTCGCAAACCCCTAGGAACCTAATGGAGTTAGTTCTGTCCAGAAGAGAGAGTCAGAAAAAAGGTCTTGAGAGTTCCACTGAAGGCGGTGGGCTGGAAGAATCACTTGGAAAGCCCCATCTCCTGGGCTGCCATATTTATTTTGGGCAGTTAGTGGAAACAAAGACCAAAGAAAGGCCAGTTTATAAACTTGGCTGTGACCCAAGTGTGAAGAGAGAGTCTCTTTCACAGAACCTCCAGACCTCGCTGCGGTCATTGTGCAAGAATGGGGATAATAGAGTGCCCTTTTCAGGGAGGTCCCACGCTGACCTTGGCCAACTGAAAGGGAAATTGGAGAGGAATCAGGTGACTTGCGTTAGCCCCCTCTGACAAGATGACACAGCCCTGCACGCAACTTGCAATGGAAATGAAATTAGTCACTTGGCGCCTGTGGCTTGCGTGGCTCATGCCACACCCAGCCAGAGAGTTGGAGCCAAACAGCCCCAGTGGGTCACAGATGGCATGCAGAACCTGCCTGTCCCATCCAGAAGCCGGTACACAGCACGGCTGAGGCACTTCCTGTCGTCGTCAGCCTTTGCTCACTAATTGCCAAGGTCCTTTCCAGGGCTCATTTTACTTTAAATGCTCTTAAAAAAAAAAAAAGTATTCGGAGCCCAGTAAATGGAAGAGACAAATGATGTTCAGTTGTGGTTATAAGAGGAAGTGGAATGATTTAAGCAGAAACAAGGAAGAAGTATCTTGGCTTGGAAGTCGGTGGGAAGGTTGAATCCTCCCAGAAACAATATGGAGAAGATCTGCCAGCCTCCTGGAATTCTCCAGTGTGCTCTCTTCTCCTAGGATGGTCACCAGCACTGGCTTATGTTTCTGTGGGCAGAGGGATCAGTGATAATTGGAAAATACCTTGGTTGCTAGTGATCAATGTAGTGGACAGAGCTGCAAGGGGTAGTGACTGCCAGGGTAGCCTTTATATGATTGGAGAAGACTCCATAAGATAGCAACGCTTGGCTAGAGACCCGAAGGATCAACAGGAAGGCAGGCTGTTGTGTATCAGACACAGCAGGGAAGGAAGGAGGGAGCAACAGTGAAGTCAAAGAGGTCATGGACATGCCACACTGCATGGACCCCATTAGCTGTGGGAAGGAGCATGGACCCCGGTAGCTGTGGGAAGGAGCCACACTGCATGGACCCCGGTAGCTGTGGGAAGGATTCTGGCTTCCAGAAGAGAAGGGAGCAACATGTGATAAGTGATTCAGTGCCAGGTATTTGTGAAGGAAGGTTATAGACCATTGGCGTGTGGGAGGAAGAGAGGAATCAAGAGGACTTCTGGGTATTTTTGAGTGAGAAAATGCTTTTTTTTTTCTAAAATTAGTTATTTTTTTTTTTTAGGGGGGGACAACTGTTTTTTACAACTCTAAATCAGAATTACCTCATAGTGCCATGGGCATTAGTGCAAGAAAGACAGAAGAAGCAATGGGTCTAGAAAGTTGAGCAGCTTCCCACAGAAAGTTGGTGGGAGAGTCTGGCTCTCACGCCTGCTGCCCTCCCTGAGGATTGTGCTGAGATGGATTACACCCAGCCCTGGGCCATGTTCATGCTTTCTTTCCTTTGTCTGAAGCTCTCTAGTGAGAAGCCTTGTTGTCATGGCATCTAGCATTTTAACGTGGAGCACAGCCTGGTGGGGCAGGGTGGGGCGTGTGTTAGGAGGTGGGTTAGCCTGGTGGGGCAGGGTGGGGCTTGTGTCAGGAGTGGGTTAGCCTGGTGGGGCAGGGTGGGCGTGTGTTAGGAGGTAGGTGGGGCAGGGTGGGCGTGTGTTAGGAGGCGGTTTAGCCTGGTGGGGCAGGGTGTGGTGTGTGTCAGGAGTGGGTTAGCCTGGTGGGGCAGGGTGGGGCGTGTGTCAGGAGTGGGTTAGCCTGGTGGGGCAGGGTGGGGCGTGTGTCAGGAGTGGGTTAGCCTGGTGGGGCAGGGTGGGGCGTGTGTTGGGAAGCAGGTTGGACAGTGGGAAGCTGAGCTCTGCTTCTCATTCACAGTGCTGACCTTGAATGGTCATGTGCTGTCCAGTGACCATCTCTGCAGGAATCCTGTGTGGTTCTAGGGTGAGATTTTAAGAGTACGTCTTACATGACTTTGGAAATGTAACTTATTTAATTATAATTTTTTTTAGAAAACTCTTTAAAAATATTTAGAGAGAGAGAGAGAGACAGAGAGAGAGAGAGAGAGAGAGAGAGAGAGAGAGAGTAAGAGAGTATCTGTATGCGATACATGAGTTTATTTGCCCACAGAGACCAGAAGAGGGTGTCAAGTCTCCTGGAGCTGGAGTTACAGGCCGTTATGAGCACAGATGCTGGGACCTGAACCTGGGTCCTCTGGAGAACAGCAAACTGTCTTAACAGCTGGGCATCCCTTCACCCACTAGAGAGTTCTTACTGGTGGTGAGATGTTTCTGACTAGACTCTACATCTGGCGCATTAGTTTTCTGGGCAAAATATTTAGCTGTCCAGATTAAGGAACTTTGCCCTCCTTTACGTGGTGGTGCTCAGGTTTGGATTCAGGACCTCCTTTACTCTGCCATACACTGCCCCCATCCCAGGGTTGTTTTTGTTTATAAAGCCTATTGCTATAAACCAAGTTCTTTTTCCTTGCATTGTTTCTTTTTGAGATGGGGTAAGGGCTGGCCTTAAATTTGTGACTGTTCTCTCAGCCTTCCAGGTGCTGGGATTATGGTTATATATCTCCAGGTCTGGGCTCAGATGAATTTTGGTTTATTCCATGATCATATCCTTCTGTTTCCCAGACTGAAACGTTATCTTCCAGAATAATGAGAATGTCGGCCCAGGTTGTTGGGTCCGTAGGCCCCTTATGTAATGACTATTTTCTCTGCTATTATGTAACCATATGTCATATCCTGCAAATGTCCTAGTAGTGCCACACTCTCATGTCAGGACCCTGGCACCATAGTCACAGGGGAGCAGGTTCCATTGCTAGTGCCACCTTCCTTACCCAAAGTCATCCTGAACCTCACACAGAAGCCAAGGTGCTGTCTTTATATGGGTGTTTGGGAAGTGCTAATGCAGGAAGGGGGCTGAAGACTGCCAGAGATATTAGGAGTAAGGGAGGTAAAGGATGGAAAAAACCAAAACCAAACCAAACCCGGGGGAGGTAGGGAGCAGAAGAGCGTGATCATGGAGCCCGGGAGCCTGGGAGGCTGGGAGCAAAGGTACCACCAGGAGACCTGGCTGCCTGTTGCTGGTCCTTGGGAGACAAGATGACAGAAGAGGTAAACAGAAATGGGTCGGGGAGTATTGCCAGTGACATTTGCCACCCTCACCCTTGACTACCTTGTAGCACTTTAAAAAGTTTTCTATGTTTAGGAAAAGTTTTTGAAAATTATTTTCATGAAAAGTTGAGTGAGGGAATCCCACAGACCCCCAGCCAGTGGAGGTTTATGTGAGCTGACTGCATTTCCGAGGTGGCGCTTAGTCGTCAGTCAGTAGGACACACCAGAAACACGGCCATGACCCCAGGGGACAGAGGGAAAAGACAGAGACAATACTAATGTTTGTTCTTCCTTTTCTTCTTCTTTCCTACTCATCAAGAGAAAAATCAGTTTAGAGCACAAGGAAGGATCAAGAGCTGAGCGTGAGGCTGGGGAATGGAAACTCATGGGAGCTTAAGGCCAGCTGTAGCTACATACGAGTTCTGGTCCAGCTAGGAGCTGCAGGAGGAGACCCTGTCAAAACAGAAAAGAGAAAATACCAGAAGGAAATTACACTTATGTAGTTAGGTTGTTTTTTTTTAAATTAAATTAATGTTAGAATTTTAATTAGATGAGATGAAAAATGAAGGAAGAAGGCAATCTTTGCCCAATTATAAAATGTCTATATTAAATGAATGAACTGTAAATTTAAATTTAAAGTAGAATTTCCTGAGGAACACAGAACAGTTTTGAAGCCAAGTTGGTTACATGTGGGGCAGCTCGTTTGTTACAATTCCTTAGCTTTACTTAAGGAAAAAAAGACTAATGCTTTTGTTTCTTTTTGGTCACTTGTTGAAATTAGAGCAGATTCCTCTGTGTATTATTGCTGCTATTGCCCAAGCTATTGAAGAAGACAAATGGCAGGTTTTGGAATGAGAACGGATGCAGACATGCCTTAGCTTGACTCTCCTCGGGAGTCTTTTCTCAGCCCGGATCCCACAGCTGGGCTGCTCAGCCTCCTGAGCCCCTCTTCACCAAGTCAAAGTCATGTGTGGTTTCTCACTGAGCCATGGGCTGACCTGCATGCCCTGCCATGGAGGAGAGAGAGTACCACTCTACCTGTCATGGTGGACTCACATCTCCTTGGGCAAATGTCTTCAGTTCCAGGGTGTTGTGAGTTACCATTCTCCAAGGCAGGTGGCAGCCATTTTAGTCACTGAGCTGTGACAGTTTGCAAGGTCATTTTAGTTGGGCTTGTCTGTTTACACCCCTGCATGGAGGGTATGGGAAGGCCACAAGGCCTCACCTGCATATCCAGCCACATCCAACCCTGCCCTAAATTGTAGTTGACCTCGGGGAAGGGCTAGATTATAAAGGCCGGAAGTGTAGAGGAGGGCAGCTTTCCATGTGGCAAAGGGGAAGCCCCCATCCTTGCTGAGAAAGCTCTTCTAGGTGTTGCCTTTTGGGGAACACTAGAACACATACACCCGGTAAGTAATCCCTTACCTGTGCTATACAACGAAGCCCAATAAACTCACTGATTGCCCAGCACACCTGTTTGTTGTTGGGACCTTAGGAGGAGGGTGGATTCTTCTTAATTTCTCCCTGGGAAGGAACTGTAGGAACACTGGTATACTATATACTCTATTTGCTCAAACAAAAGCCCTGCTTCTTAGTGGCCTTTTGGTGCCCCACATTCTGAAACACATCTCTAGACGTGTTTTCTCCTTCCTTCTTACTTCAGCAGCATGGGAAGACTGCAACTCTTGACTCCAAAGTAATCTAAAGTCTTATCTGTAATAAATCGAGCTATAAAAACTTATGGAAATTATTCTGGAAGGTTCATTTTTCTGATATTCTTGCCTCCAGTTTCCAAAGAGAAGAAGCTGGGACTCTGCAGTGCAGACACTGCACATTGCTTGTATTTATCCAGCGCAATATCTGTGTTTTAAAACGGAAGTCCAGCTGCATGCATTACAACCTACCAAAAAACTAGAGCCATGCTTGTCCTGGGCAGAGATGGGTATGAACTGCCTCTATATCCCAGGTCCCTCAAACAATTCACGCCTATTTGCATAAAACATAAATGTTTAGTTATTTTGAAATGAATCAAAATGCAGGGCATGATTTGCTGTCTTCTCTCTTTCTAGTTTGCAGCAGTTGGGTCTCTCTGTTCCCTGCCACCCACTGCACTCTGTCTTACACCTTAGTCAAAGCTTTTTCATCAGCCAGGTTCACTGAAAGCAGGACATTGGGGTAGACTGTAACAGGCCGGGCAGTCAATTATGGGTCTCCCCCCAACCCTTTGCTGTGCGATGTTGTTGCTTTGACAGTCCTTTTTATGCCTTCTCTACCATCTTCATCACAATGATATATGTGAGATTTTATGCATTCTCCCATTTATTCTCTGATATGTTACAGTGAAGAAGATACATTTTTAATTTTTCACTATTTTCTCAAGACTTCAAATGTGAGGTGTACTAAGTAGTATTTCCTTAATTAACACCTTTGTTGGTCTCCCAACTTTAGACCTTCCTTGTGGTTTCAGAGACGTGTGTGTGTGTGTGTGTGTGTGTGTGTGTGTGTGTGTGTGTAGAGGGTACATCAAGGACCACTGGGAAACGCTGCAGTTGAGACTTTTCTACCTCCATCCCCGTGTGTATTTTGTGTGTGTGTAGCTGGGCAAGGCAGACTGATGACTACTGATACAGCCACTTCTGGTTTGTGAACACAAATGCTGTTGACTATGGACAGAAGCCTATGTATTATAGCATTTATTTTTTTATTTTTTATTTAAGTTTTTCGTATGGCATATTTTGATCATATCAATCATTTATTTCCTTTCTCCCAACTCTTCACAGGCCTCCCACATCCCTATCCACCCAACTCCTTGGTTTTTTTCTGTTTAAAAAAAAAAAAGGAAAATCTTGACTCAGATGATTTTGCAGCCTGGATTGATGTACTTTAGCCCATTCTCTTCTGCAGCAGGCAGGGTGGACACAGAGCAGTTTGAACATTTAGAGGCAAATTAATTTGCCCAGAAGTCTCTCCCCTTAGCCTCAGCTCAGTGTGAACTGACACATGGTTTGGGAAAAAGGATTTCTTGCAGCTAGATCAGAAACAACACTGTTTCAAAATCATTTCTTTCTTTCTTTCTCTCTCTCTCTCTCTCTCTCTCTCTCTCTCTCTCTCTCTCTCTCTAATGTTTTGAGACAGACTCTCACTATGTATTCCTGTCCTGAAGCAGGTTGGGCTCACACTTTCTGTAACCACCTATCCTCTGCCTCCCATGTGCGCACAAGCATTCTGTTCCATTGTTCAAATCAGAAGTGTATGAAAGTGTGCCTGAAAGGCCCAGGGAAGGCAGTTACAGAGCTGGTGGATTGTACTCATAGAGCACCAAGTGGCACACTGCCATCTAGACTGTGGTTGTTTAAGGATCTTTCTGAGATGCTTCAAGAAGTCTCCCACTTCTCCCAGCTTCTTCAGCTATAACAGTGTTTGATGCGGCCACTTAGGGCAAAGTTTCTCTTTTTAATCTCTAACTATAAATAAGCTCTTTTCTAGCTTCTAGCGTCTCATGATTAAACCAACTTTTCAGCCTGGATGATAGGAATTTGGGCCTAATTCAGCAAGAAGGCTGCTATTTGAGGGCTGTCAGAAGATTGTAATCTTTTATGATTGGTGAGCACTATTTTTTCAAATTTAAGAAAAACATATTTGAATAAAACAGATGACGCAGTCACCAGAGAGCATCACAGAGAGAAAAGTGAGTAGGTGACATGTAGTAGTCCTGATTTCCTGGAGGAGGGGTAATCCTCTATTTATTCTATTAATGTTTTCCAGGAAGTAGAGGGGAATGGAAGACAGAATTGGGCAAAATTAATTATGAAGTTTTTGGAGCAAATTTCATTAGGAAAAATTAATTGGAAATATGTTTGGATGGATGGTGACTGCAGCGATTTCTGGCTAGGTGATCACTCAGAGTTGTTTCCCTCTCTGTTAGCTGTTCATCTGTTGACAAAGTTGGGTCCACTTGTTAGCTCAGTCCCAGAAAGTGCAGGGAAGATGGTATGACCTCTATGAGCACCGCTCACTTTGTGGGAAGGTTACATAATTTCCCATTGGTCATTAAGCCAATCGACCAACAACCAACCTAGAGTTTACTAACAGGTTCTGTGTTAATAAATTTATGCAGAACAAACCTAGGCTGTCAGTTCCGGGGGACCAGTCCCCTCCCTACTGTGGTGTTGGGTATTGAACCCAGATCTCATACATGTTAGGCAAGCCATCTACCACTGAGCTCCACGCCCAGGCCTCAGCCCTACAGTCAGAACTCGCTGTGTGAAGTGGATAAACCTTCTGAGCACAAGTGACAGCTGGAGATGGCTCTGTCAGTACAGTGCTCATGATTCAATCAGGGGGAGCTGGATTGGGAGTCTCAACACCCACATAAAAAGGCAGTTATAGGAATGAACCTGCTATCTTCACATTGTTGAAGTGGAGGCGGAAGTATCTCTGGGGCTTGCTGGTCAATGAGCTTCAGTTTCAGGGAGAGACTCTGTCTCCAAAAATAAAGTGGAGAACAATGGAGGGAGGTACCAGATGTTGACATCTGGCCTCCACAGGTGATTGTACATGTGCACACATGGGAACATGTACACATGCATACCTCCCCTGTCTCAGCAACAAAACAGAATGCAGCTGAAATAGTTATGAAGGATCCATACACTGGACATGCTGATTGTGGTTTACCCTCTTCTGAGGTGACTTTCTGATTCCTCACGGCACCTATGTCTACTGCCCACCTTCTTTTTGTGTTCCTTCATGATTAACTGGAGACTCGCTATATGCGTTTTCAAGTGGCTACTGTATGACTATATAGGATCAAAACTACAGTGGGCGGTTCCAGCCTGTACAGTAAGCACTGTTGATAGTTATTGTTAACCTTCAATACCGAGGAGTAGCTTCAGATATCCCTAAAGAGTTTCTCAGTCCTGAGAACTGGAAACAAACTGTAAATTATATTCAATTTAGATTTTTTGTGTGTATGTGAGTGCACATCTTTGTATGTGTACATGTGTGTATGGGCCAAAGATTGACTTTATCCATAACTCTTCACCTTTAAAATTATATTTTCCCACCTTATTTTTTTGAGAGAGCCTCTTCCAAACATAGAGCTCATTCTTCTGCTAGGCTGGCTGGCTTCAGGCACCTGCTTGCCTGTACCTCTCTTAGCCAGTGCTGAATGTTGGGGATACAGATATGAGCTGTAGTACCCAACTTTTATATGTCTGCTTGAGTGGCAGACATTACCTTCTGAACCATCTCCCCAGTCCCCAATATGTACTTCTTAAAGCTTGAAATCCCTGAACCACCCCATACTGTCTTCATAGAACTTGGGAAGGGGTGTGTTCTGTTACAAGTAAATTGTTCTTGTTCTTTCTAGGTGCTAATGGGTTTTTTGTTTTGTTTTTCTTCTCATTGTTTTAGGAAGTTTGGGGCCAGAGGTTCCCGACTTACTGGAGCAGGGTGGGGAGGCTGCACAGTGTCCATAGTGCCCGCCGACATGCTGCCCAGCTTCCTCACCAATGTCCATGCAGCTTACTACCAGAGGAACAGCTCCCGCCTGGCCCTGGAGAAGCACAGCTTGTTCGCTACCAAACCTGGAGGCGGGGCTTTGGTTTTCCTGGAGGCCTAAACAATGTAAAACATCTCAGAGAAACTATTTGGGGCATTTAGGGGTTGGCGAGATTTCCCTGGGCCACCGCAAATCAGCCCCTTTTCTGTTTTGTTAGGAAGAACAGCTGCTATTATCAAGATGCATTTCCAGAGAAATGGTGAAAGCTATGCTTCATACTGACCACTTCTCTCTCTCAATGGATTTTCTTATGAATCAGAGCCCAGGGCATGCTTAGGCAGATCTTTAAGGTATGACTAATATTTATTGATTTGAAGATTTTAAAGATGAAGAGCAGAATGTACTCTTAATTGAACACCGCTACAATTAAATTGGTACAGCTGAACTTATGTGTTGTTCTTGAACGGTGGTCACTGCTGGCTTCCCTTAGCCCTCTTCCACGTAGTTGAAGCCTTCTGACGTGGCGGTGGATGATGACGATGATGACTGTGGTGACTGTGGCGTCTGTGATGACCCTGAGGACACTGATGTTGACGAGCCTCCAAATTCCTCCTTGAATTTAGCTTCCATACGCTGTGAACATAGTACATGGTTAAGGACATACAAATATTCTTAGACACACACAGTATACTTGAATGTGAGATTCCTATGAGTCTGAAGATGGTGACGATCACCTTGGGGGAGGGGCTAAAGGACAGATTTCAGAAGAAAATTTGAGTTGGCTTTCTTCCCACTCGCACTACATTTCTCAAAGGCCTTTCCAGTCCAAGAGGCTGACCGTGCTGGCAGCCCCACCCATACCTCACAGCCCTCTTCCGGACGCCTGGCGAGGCTTGCTTGTGTCCCTGGTCCAGTGTAGGGCAGATGTGCGGTATGTAGGTGTGGGTGAGTCTGCAAAAGCCGTGTGTGATCTGACATTGATGGTGGAGTGAGGACTTAGGACACTTACCAAGAGTGGGCAGAAGTGTCTGGTCATGTGGTGACATGTGAATGGCTGACTCCCAGAAGCCCTTTCTAAGTTACATTGGAGGATGCATAGACCAAAGTGGGTTTTGCTGACATATTCCCGTGACAGAGACAGCAGTTGTATCGTGGTTGAAATTACCACAATTTTTGTTTCAGATGATTATGTTGGCCCATTAACCAGCATTCATTTACTGGGTTTCACCATCTGCCTGTTTCTAAAAGACCTAGGCAGGCTCTAGAACAAGTCACTAGGAAACCAAGATCCATCCTAAAACCAATTCCTGATGCATTTCCCTCTAAATACCTGAGCAACCTTGTATTAAATTTGTTGAAAGAATTTTGAGTTTTCTTAAGCACAGTAATCTAAGAACCAAATTTGTTTATAATGCTGCAGATTTTTAAGGCTTGTATTCCCCACAAATAATTTGTGGTTGGTTTAGAATTCTTTAAAAAATAAAACTTGAATCATGTGATCTGCTGTTAGTTCATTTAATGATTTTCACCATGGATTCCTTATGCAGAGGATGAGAAAAATGTTCAGTAATTCTAAATAATCAGTGTGCACACCTCCATGGGGACACGGATGTTCTAAGAGTTCAGTGTGCACACCTCCACAGGGACACGGATGTTCTAAGAGTTCAGTGTGCACACCTCCACAGGGACACGGATGTTCTAAGAGTTCAATGTGCACACCTCCACGGGGACACGGATGTTCTAAGAATTCAGTGTGCACACCTCCACGGGGACATGGATGTTCTAAGAATTCAGTGTGCACACCTCCACGGGGACACGGATGTTCTAAGAGTTCAATGTGCACACCTCCACGGGGACACGGATGTTCTAAGAATTCAGTGTGCACACCTTCATGGGGACACGGATGTTCTAAGAGTTCAGTGTGCACACCTCCACGGGGACATGGATGTTCTAAGAGTTCAATGTGCACACCTCCACGGGGACACGGATGTTCTAAGAATTCAGTATGCACACCTCCACAGGGACCAGTTTGGATGTTCACCTTCCTAGATATGGACGGAGGGGGGAGGACCTAGGACTTACCACAGGGCAGGGAACCCTGACTGCTCTTTGGACGGGAGAGGGAGGGGGAAATGAGTGGGGGGAGGGGGAGAAGGGTGGGAGGAGGGGGAGAAGAGTGGGAGGAGGGGAGGGAAATGGGAGGCGGAGAGGAGGTGAAAACTTGTTTTTTTTTCTCCTTTTCTCAATAAAAATAATAATAATAAAAAAAGAATTCAGTATGCACACCTCCACGGGGACACGGATGTTCTAAGAGTTCAGTGTGCACACCTCCACGGGGACACGGATGTTCTAAGAGTTCAATGTGCACACCTCCACGGGGACATGGGTGTTCTAAGAGTTCAGTGTGCACACCTTCACGGGGACACGGATGTTCTAAGAGTTCAGTGTGCACACCTCCACGGGGACACGGATGTTCTAAGAGTTCAGTGTGCACACCTCCACGGGGACATGGGTGTTCTAAGAGTTCAGTGTGCACACCTTCACGGGGACATGGGTGTTCTAAGAGTTCAGTGTGCACAACTCCATGGGGACAGAGTTGTTCTCAGTGTTTTGCTTTTGGGGAGGCACAGAGTCCATTGAAACTATCCTACTCAGGGTTGGCTTCCTGTCTGTTAAGAACTGCCTTGAACCTACCTTCAGCAACTGGTGTTCTAGAAATTGTGAGGACTATCCAGCTCTTTCTTAAAGAAGAGGGGTGGGGACCAAGAGCACAAGGCTTATGAAGAACTGGACTTTGTGCATGGCACTAAAGGCTGGCTAGAATTTGAAGGCTAGCGAGTAGGTGGTGCAGGCCAGCAGAGCATGAGTATAGCCTGAAAACTCCGGGTGTGTGGAAGACTCTGGGCGAATGTTGGGTTTGCCTTCAAATGCACCAAAGAATCATGTCAGCTGCACTGGCTGGACCCGGCAGCAGTCAGATCAGGAAAACAGGCCACATATGGTCTACAAATGGATTTGGTTTGTTCCATTAGCATTTGAAAATGTGGGCTCTACATCTGGAGATTTTAGAGTCTGGAGTACTGGTGGGAGGCTGGTAGATTTTGATTCCTGCAGGTAACGGTGAAGGAGGCTGGGTGGCAATTGTCGTGTCAAGGGTGGGCTAGTTTTCACAGCCCCTTGCAGTCTGCCCTGACCTGCACAAAGCACTGCTGTTCTCTTACATGTGGTACATGCTCACGGCACTGTTCACTAGTAGGAAATACATCAAGAAAACTCGGAAGAAGGAAAAATACTTTTAAAAAAAATTAAGACAAAAAACAGTGATCCTGTGTGTCTAATACGAACACTTGAATGTTTCATGGCCTTCTAGCACCTGTCTGTATAGGAATATTATTCGTCCCCAGTTTTGACATTAGACCCATAGCTAATGGGATTGTTCTAGAGTCTAGACTGCAGAGGAGAAACAAACCTTTCATGTTGGATCCCTGCATCCCTGGTCTCAGGGTCCAGCCTGCTAGCTTCCTGCATGCTGGCACCTACACGTCTTGCCCTTTGGAAAGTAAGATCCTTCAGCTCTACCAGTACTCAAAGCCTCAGAGGAGCGGGAAAGGGCGGGCCCAGGGAAACGGACAGGAACTCTCCATCCCTTTCTTTTCTCGTCATATCTGAGCTCTCTTTGGAGTCCTGTCATGGTCTCCCTTGTGTTTCGATGGGCTGAGGGCAGGAGGCATTCTTTTCACATAGCTGATGGCATCATACAGCTTTGTTGAATTATTAATAAAGCACAACTTTAAGCACCAATAATTTCCTCTCCTTTCTCTCCAAATGCACTTTCCAGGGTCCAGTTACAGAAACTGTCCCAGGGACTGTGTTAGAAGCAAGCAATGAGGACAACGGGCATGAGGTTGTCAGTGTACTTTGGAATGGGTTGTCTCCCCTTTGGAGTGGACAGCCAGTGATAAGAATGCGCTGCCTCTGCCACTGCAGCTTGGGTGTAACCGTGCACCGCTTTGAAACATTGTGAGGTCTGGAGGCAAGAAGCTGTGGAGAGAACTCTCAATTATTTCCAGGAGGGAAACATACCATTTTATGTAGAAAATCCTCAAAATCTGTTTCGACTTCTTGGATGCTTTTGGAAGCTTTTGCCTGGAGCCTAATGGAATAAAGCAAAACACTTGAGCAAACGGACTGTTCATGCGCATCTCCCGGCAGTATTCGCAAAGAACACGCTCTGCTCTTGCTGGCCCTTCCCATGTATTAATGCAGCTACCTCATTACCGCTGTAGCAAGCAGGGAAAACTTTTATCCTTTTTCTCCACGAGGAAACTGGCTCAGCTAGGCAATGTTGCTGTCGGTACCCCACACAGAAGGATAGAGAGCGGATGATTTTTAATCCAAGCATTTCCTTCAGGCCTTAGTTCCTACCACCTTGTGACTCTCTACCCAGTGGATGCCTGTCCCCCTCAGCTAGACACATCACACAGCATTACCCTAACCGCCTCCACTACCCAGATCGTGGGCGGGCAGGGGTGGGGGTGGACTTTCCACAGTGGCGTAGGGGAAGACGAGGTGATGGGCAAGACACATTTGTGCAAGGTGTGTTCTGGGCCAAGCTTCTTGAAGAAGAGAATCCTAAGGATCTTTCAGCATTTTAGACAGCAACTACTCAACTCAGAAACACGACAGTTGATGCAGCAGGCACCAGGAGTCCCCAACTCCTGACACCTTTTCTTTTGTGCACACCCTTGAGTTGTGTGTTAATCTTAGACTCATTTGTACTTCATTTTGTTAAAAATCTACCCATCTATGCCTCCTGGTCTTATTGGGATATAAGTCACATTTTACAACATACATTTCAAGAGTTTTGTATGTTCACAGAGATTTTTTGACCACCCTCACTGTCTAGTTGCTGCTTTCTGATCGTGTTTCCTCTTCATGAGTCTCATTTTGCATGACTATCTGTGCAGGGTAACACGGTGAGCCTGTCCCTGTGAGTACTGCATGGGTTGTCTAGCCACAAGAACATTCCACCTCCCTCTTCTCCTTGCCTGATGCATGTTTCTTTGAAAGCAGATTCGGATCCACCCTGAAAACCATTCCATGTTCTGAGCTTCCCAATTCCCACAGGACTCTGTTCCTGTGGGCTCTGACTTGAGTCCCTGGGATTTTGATGTCCTAATTCATGGGTTTCAAATGGGAATGGTAGCTGATAGGTTTTTTTTTTTTTCATCTGGGGGATGAGATAAGATTTTTAGGCGATGGGTTGGACTTTCTCCGGTGACTGGGAAGGCAGAACATCTAAAGACTCTTCAGTCTCTCAGGGGGGCTTAAAGGGCTGCATCGTCTGAGTAGAGGAAATCAGTCAGTCCACCTCAACTTTTTGTACTTCCCATTTTATACTCCAATTTGTAAAATGAGTTAAATCAGCTAAATTATCCCTGCTCCATTGGGGAAACATGTTTACATGTGTAGATGAAGCAGCAGGGACAGAAGTAACATGGGACTGTAGTCCCAGAGAGGCCAATGGAAGGGCTGTTTTCTAGTTCATGTCTTTCCCAGGCAGGACATAGTTATAGGCTAAGTGCTATGGCTGGAGTAAAAATAGATAATCATAATGTTTAGAAGTAAATTAAGTTGGCAGAAGGTGATTTTTTAAAAAAAGTAAACGAGTTAGTTGTTGTTTTTAGACCCATGGTTCTCAACCCCTGCATCTCAACCCCCAGGTTGCCCAAGACCATTGGAAAACACAGATATTTACATTATGATCTATAACAGTAGCAAAATTACAGTTATGAAAATAATTTGTTGGTGGTAACCATAACATAAGGAACTGTATTAAAGGGTTGTGACATTAGGAAGGTTGAGAACCACTCTGTTGATGGACTGTTAAGTAGGATATAATTCTTTTGGGATATTTAATATATGTTTACATGACAAAACCACTGTGGTTTTTCTGTGAATCTGTTTGTCAATTAAAAGTGACTTAAGCCCTACAGAGTTTAGTATGAGACAAACCGGTCAAGCTCTTTCTCAATTTTTTCCTGTTGCTCTTTCAGGGCCTTGATATCTTCTCTGATTCTTTGCTTGGCTCTGTAGAATATAAATAAAACTCCATCAGCATTTAGAGTTAACATTTAAAAGAAAAGCAGCCAGTCCTACATGGGAAGCAGTACAGCAGCAAGCCCTTTGTTCCCAGGGACTCACTGGTGTGCTAACCCTCCCCACATTCCCTTTTAGAAACCTGTGATTCAGTGCTTCACACCTGGTGTGACTGTGACAAGCCCTCACTGTGTCTGTCAGAGCTTGCTAGCCCCTTTCCCAGTATGTGGGGATGCTGGGGAGGGTGGAGAAAGGGGACACACAGGGAGAGGAGCACAGACTGTGTCTTGCATACTGGGTAGGACTACACTGGCTGCTCCTTCATCTCCCTGAATTCCCAAGGCTGAGTCTGGTCCTTCTTTTCCCCCAGAGGCAACAGTCTTTAAACAGTTAC